CCTCCGAAACAATCACCTCTCTGCTACAAGAGCTAGTCAAGAAATACAAAATCTAATAAAAATAGAGAATGATGTGTCAAATAGTCGCCTTATGGTCTTGAGTTACAATGTTTGTTGCTTTTTAATTATCCGCAGATTCGATAACAATGTATTAAAACTGACAAGCAATAATATATGCTCTCTTTTATCAGCCAAGTACAATGTTCTCTTATTTCTCTTCCATTTATTGTTTTTCGAAGTTAAGAAATAAGGACAAAATGGAGAGAGCTTTTGATTAAAAATTCTCTAAGTATAGCTGGTAACCCCTTACACTTAACTTTCTGAATTTTATGTCATCCACAAACAATATTTCAAACATGTTCCAAGAATCTTGTTCTAATTGGTTGTAAAATGTCTAACTGAAAAGATTAATTCATCTTTCTAACATCACAAATCAATTCAAAAATAAATCCACAGAAACTAATGGGATTTCTGCAAATATATCAGAGAAAAACGAATAATAATAGATAGAGAAAAACAAGAAATGAATTTCACCAAAATTTCATGACAGTGAAATACAGAGAGTGCAAGATTAACTCATCTTCTCACTGCCAAAAGACTGAAGTGTAGACATCCAAACATGAATAATGCAGTGATTATGCACGTTAATTTCTCCAAATTAGAGAACCTTGAACACCATACTGAATTTGGCCAAGCATCTGCATTTGAAATAAAAGCAATTAAACAAATATTCATCGGACATCAGAGAATCTAACCCCATCTAACTATGTGTATTTCATAACCAGCATAAGCACATGTGTAACAAGCGATTGAAGTTTCTTAATCGGTATATATGCATTTGCAATACAAAACTCTTCTCCTTTATTGAGAGGGCGAAAAAAAAAAAGGGACCTTTACCCTTTCCAAAATTGAATTCATGGTAACAGTAATTTACCTCAATGAATTATAAGGGATCGTCTTCTCAGGGAACCAGCTGCATCAGTAATAAGTGCATCCCCATTTGAGTTAGTTCAATGAATTGATTCGTGGCTCAAGGCCAAGTATCCTTGTGAGGGAGAAGGTAGAAGCTGGAATTTTTTCCCCCTAACTAGTCCCCGAACTTCCACATTTATTTCCATTATGTCACTACTTTTGGAGCCTATGGTAAACTTTGTTTCCAATGAATTTGGTGGCAAGCGGTATCCAAGCGTTGCTCGTCATTAATTCCTAAAATTGAATTCATGTGAAGGTGCATAGGATCTACCTACTCGAGTCGGCTCTATAAGAAAGTGTACTAATTCATGTTCATGTTGTTTTCAAACACTTTGATCATGTGTTTTTTCAAGTATTGGAAACATGATTCTCAAGTTTGGTAATCAAAGTAGGATAAATCAGAGTTAAGATTTAAGTGAAACATCGGTTATTTATAAAAATAGTTTCAAATTTATAAGTAAATTTACAATTGAGATATACAATTTACATAACAATCAAGTGCGTTTTTTCCCTCCACCAAAAAGCAAGTGCTTAATAAAACATGGTCATAACGCTGCGAATTATAGATATTTTTGCCGGCTAACAAATTCTGTTTGCTTTACCATCGAATATGTCGGACACATTAACAATCTTGTTAAGTCGACTAATGACTATGTAGGCAGTGACTTAATTGAAACTAATGTGAAAGTTCCCCAGCCAACTTTCACTTTGCATTTTGTTAGGCAGCCATTTGGAAACATTTTCAAAGATATCCACAAATTGACATCAAACTTGATCACGTCGAAATTCTTGAAACAAGGACACCACCTGGTCTCAAGAAGATGGGTGCCATCTAAATCTGTCAAGAAGTTTTCAACTACGGGGAGTAGAGTAGGAGGCATAATTTTTTTCTTTTTCTCTACTATTCTTTTACGGGTTAGAAAAAATGGTTCTTGTGAACTTTGTCTCACTTGATATTTATCGAGCTAATCTTTAACTTTTTATCTTTGCCACCATTTCATCAAATAATTTATCAATTCAATTCAGATTACTGCAACCAGAAAGAATACAAAGTTTTTAAAGGCTAGAGAATTTTATCGTAGATTGACGAAACAGATTATGAGAAAGCACTAAAATTACATGCAATAAAGGATGAACTGAAACAAAGAATGAAACTAAAACTAAAGAAAAAATGATACTTTATCAAGAATCTAAAGTCATGTAACATTCTTTATGCATCAGCTCACGTCATTATGTACGCACTGAGATTTTCATCACTGAAGTAGCCATAGTAATTAGCAGGCGGATAGTTATAAGGCACCCACGGAGGTGGAAATAAAATCTCGAATGAATTGTGTCCAAAGAAGGTATATTATTTGACAATTATTATTGTAGAAAAAAGTTTTGAAGAGTAATTCTTAAGAAGATTTGTGATTAAAAAATAGGATTTTTTTTTTATACAAATGTAGATTATTTTAGGATACTGCTATTTACATCCACAATTTTTATATACACGTTCGCTTTTAAAAAGATAATTATATTATATTTTTGATCTCATGTAAATTTACCTAATTAGGCATATATAAAATTAAATAAAAATATATTGTTCTAAATTCATCCACTAATATTTATTTTCATAAAATCTTTTAGACATTTTTATATTCTTTTAAAGTTTGTGTTTAACTAAAATTCTAATAATTATAAAACATCATCTTTAACTAAAATCATAAAATATATTCTTCGATGGAAATTAAAAAAAAAAAAAAACAAAACAAAAATCAACATATTATTAGAGTTATAATTTTTTTATGATATGAAAAATGGAATCTTATTTTTTATGCTTTTTTTAAATATTGATTTGACACATGAAAATTTATGAGAAATTTCAATATGAGTTTCAATACTTGTCCAATATTCTTACATTATAAAAAGAAATAAACATAAAATTATCAATTAAAACACAAATAACCAAAATTATGAGTTTATAAAAAAAAGTTAATTGACATATCATTCAGTGAGTGACTTGCTTGGTTGCATGAGCAGTATATTTTTGAAAGAATCCTATAAATTCCAAAAAAAAAAAAAAAAAAAA